GGCTTTTGAGCCAGGTTTGAGAATCTGTTCAAATCCAGAGTCCGTGGGGAGACTGTTTTGGGAAGCTGTGTTTCTCTTTATTTCCCTGAGCCTCTGTTCCAGCCCTTACCATGGTTTTTGGCAGCTTGCAACATCAGGGCCAGCAGAAATGCCAACCTCCAAACCCAGTCAGGCTGCTGGTCCCAGAACCAAAGTATGGGCCGGAGGCCACTGCTGATGTGCATTTGACCCTCCGTTTCTTAGGTTGATGAGAAACCCATCTTCATTTTTCTGCCCTTACTCATCAGTCACACTCACAAAACATACCCAGCGTAGATTCCCTTTCCATCCTTCTCAGTTACGATTCTTTTAGCATTATCTTCTGTGATTTATACTGGAAAACCGTATACTGTAGTTCCTTTTTGTTTTGAATGTAAAATTTTATTTTAACGTTGAATACACTTTTAAAAGAGATAAACTTTCAGGGTATCTCCATATTTTCTCTCCCACGCCGTCTCTCATGTTAAGACTCAGTGCTCAGCCCCTTCGCCTAGGAGGGCTCATTCACTTATATGGTGCTAACCCTCTCTTCCAAAAAGAGGCAAGACAAACCCTTGTATTTGGCCTGACTCCCTTGCAGACCTTGTTCCCACATTTCTAAAAGCACACTGGACATTTTTGCTTGTGTGATCTCTCTTGTCTTCAACTCATCATACCTAAAACAGGACTCATTGTCCCTTTCACTCCAAATCCATCTCCACCTCATCTTCCTATTTCTGAAATGCTAACCCGTATTCACCCCTTCCTGAAGCATCTCATCCATCACCAAAACCTGGTAAGTCCTCTTTTCCCCAATTCCTTCCCGCTGCCATTGTGCTAATATAGGCCCTTTGCCTCTGACTGATCTTTCTGCCTCCGTCTCTTTCCCCCTAATCCATCTTGTCCACACCATTGCCAAAGCAATCTTCCTCAACATCATTTTCCCTGGGTCATTCTCCTACCCATGAACCCTCAATATATCCCATCAGCTGCAAGATCGAGTTCTATTTCCTTAGCCTTGAAACTCAAGGCATCCATACTCATGGTTAATTTCCCTAGGATCCTTTTCCTTCCTTGCCTTATATGAGCCATTTATATGTATTCATTCATTTACTTATATAGCATGTATCACATACCTACCATGTACCTGGCATGTGCTTTCGAAAAGATGAACAGGACAGTTTGTATAAATGCATTTTGTGGTCTTGGGAGATGGTAGTGTTGCCTGGAATGTTCTCCATTTGTCTAAAACCTAAACCACTTTCCAAGACCTATTTCAAAATCGTACTGTCTTCTGGAAAACTTTTCTGAGCCCAGGGCCCTGCTCATAGTTTCTACTGCCCTTATTGTTTGAATTTATCACGTGACACTTAGCGATTAGCCATTCATTCATTTGTCATTCAATCATCAAACATACTATGCATCTACAGGGTGTCCAGCACTATGCTTGTATTGCCTCATATGCTAACGGGGCACCATAATAAAAATCAACAGCCAAGGACAACGCTTATATAGCCCTTATCTTGTACAGGCACAGTTTTAAGCACTTTATGTATATTACTTCATTTGATTCCCAAAGCACCCTATGAAGTAGGCATTTTTATTATCCACATTTTACAGATGGGAAACCAAGGCACAGAGATTTTAGCAACTTTCCTAGGGACACAAGCTGGAGAGGAGAAACAGTGGGATTCAAACCCTGGCAGTTTGGCTCTGAAGTCCTTGCTCTTAACCATTATGCTTTACTGTCAGGTACGTGTGTGTGTGTGTGTGTGTGTGTGTGTGTGTGTGTGTTTGTAAATGTAAGCACATACATGCCTTCCCAGCCGGACTCTAAACTCCTGGAGGTCAGGGAGTATGCACCATACTTACTTGTATCCCTTACCACTCTCTCCAACCTTTCCACATAGTGGTGGTGTTGTTAGGCGCTGTCGGGTCGGTTCCGACTCATAGCGACCCTATAGGACAGAGTAGAACTGCCCCACAGGGTTTCCAAGGAGCAGCTGGTGGATTCAAACTGCTGACTTTTTGGTTAGCAGGCAATCTCTTAACCACTGAGCTTGCACATAGTAGGTACTTGAATTGTTTGGCTGAGTGATTATTGGCTCTTCCATCCACTGATGGGGAGGGGGGTCTGAGATATTCTGCACATAGGAGTGTTTAAGGCCAGAGCAGGGGGCAGAAATACAGTTTCAGAATAGATCTGGAAACTCTGCAATTCTTGGTTTCTAGTTCTTAACTCTTCAGACTATGAGGATATGTTTGTACAAGAAAAGATACTGATGTAAAAGTTCTAGAAAGCAGAATCAGATTCCTTTCTCAAAAAGCAAAATAAAATTCAAACTATATTATGGTTATACAGTTTTCCCCCCACACCTGCCATCTTGTTTCTTGTTATACTTATTCATGTCCATTCTGCTCTGTTGCCTGCAAAACCAATATTTTGACTTCAGGATCCCAGATCTGCATTCCTGGTCTAATATTCCTATTTAAGGTTTTTAAAAGTTTAAGAATATAACCATTTTATTTGAGTAGCAATACTGCAAGTACATATGTAGCTTCATAAAACCCGATAAGTACATATTTGAATTTTAAAAACACAGGTGGTGGGTTATTTGCATTTTAAAAGGATTTTTCCTTTTACAAAAGGATTCACTGCAGGGTTCCATTAAGTATCCAATTCCTCTTAGTGCATTTATCATACAATTTAATTTACTCACATTTGATTTATATGCCACTCTAAAGGGGTAGCTCTTAACTTTTAGTGAGCATGCCAATCACTTGGGCAGCAACTTGTTTAAAATGCAGATCTTGCCCCAACTCCTCCCCAAGATTCTAATTCGTTAGTTCTGGGTGGGGCCCAGGATCTTCATTTTAATAAGTATCCTCAGGTGATTGATGTAAGTGGTCAGTGAAATGCACTTTGGGAAAAACTGCTTTAAAGAAACATGTAGCATATAAAGCAAGGCTCGACTGTAGTGACTTCTCCAGGGCTTTGAATATTCTCTCACTTCTGCTTACTATTGATTTGATAAATTTTTGAAATATCTATTTGGATCAAATGGAGTCCCTGCGTGGTACAAATGGTTAGCTCACCAAAAGGTTGGAGCTTCAAGTGCACCCAGAGGTGCCTCAGAAGAAAGGCCTGGTAATCTACTTTCTACAAATCAGTCATTGAAAACTCTGTGGCTGTCACACATGGGGTTGCCATGAGTCAGGATCGACTGCAGGGCAACTGGTATTTGGGTCAAACAAAGACTCTTCTCCGTCTCTCCCACTCATTCCCTCCCCCAGCTGCCACATATCTTTATTCTTAGGTTTAAAATATTTTTAACCCTCTATTTTAACTCTTAGGTATGTCCTGGGAGCTTCCTTATTCTCAGCTAGTAAAGCTGTCAACACATCTGTGAACAGTCGCCTACTAAAGTCACATACATATTCTGTTCCAGTTTCCCATTCCGCATACCCCATTTGTCTGCCCCAGAATCCTTCCCCTTAGGGATCTGGACAGGCAAACTGAAGGCTATGACTTGGTCCAGAAATCTCAGGTATTTGAGGGTTTAGGAATAGTCATTTCATGGAGGTTCCTTTTAGCAAATCTAGGGCTTTTGTCTTCTCTCCCTACTATTGACTCCAAAAAAAAAAAAAATCATAAGAATGACTTGCTTTGATCTGATTCTATTCATCTATGAGTATTAATCCTAGTCCTAGAAAAATGAATGCCAGAAATGTGCATTTAAATAGGGCTATAGATTAATGAAATTTGTTTAAAAAATAGACTCCATGACATTTACGGCACATGTATCTATGTATTTAATATATCATTGATCTTTTAAAAGTCAGCTGCTTGACCCATATTTTGCATCTGATTACTTTCATAAATCTCTAGTAATCTCCAAAAACATTTAGAGATTTCCATTCTTTAGCGATTTCTCTCCTTTGTTAATCTTCTATATCCTTGAATTTCACTCTGGGAAAAGGTTCTCTGGAGAGACGTGGACTTTGTAAAATTATCTCTAGTAATAATAAAAGCAGTATAAGATCAAATAACTGGTGTAGTTGGTTACTGGTTGGAAATCTTTCCTTTTAGTAGATTTATCAGGGCCTATGCTTCCCTTGAATTAATGAGTTCTTAATAGCCTTGTTTGACTTCTGTAAGAACATAGCTAGAGGTTGCGTTATTTGTTTTTTGGGACTTTGTGCACTTTCTCCCAGCTCAGCCTGATTAACCCGTTTGGTACTGGGCTAGGCCTTCCTGATGAAGCATGAAGGACTTTTTCTAGGGGAAGACGATGGTAAAGAAGCAATGGAGGGAAGTATGGTTGTCGCTGGGCCAAGACAAGGGTGATAAAACAGTTTTAAGTTGTCCAAGCCACCTCTTACAAGTAGGACTTATTTGGTATATTCAATATGATTTAATATCTGTGGAAAGAATATTATATCTAAATACTGTGGAAAAGAATATTATATCCAGAAATAAAGAAAAAAAAAAGGCAATCTCTGGGTGGTGGGATGACAATTGATTTTGAGTTTCTTTTTGTTGCTCTTCTGAATTTTCCGAAGTGTCTACAGTGAGCATGTATTACTATTAAAAGTAATTTAAAAGAAAGAAACCTACTTTTCCTGGTATCTTGAATATCCTCCCATATGAACCTCATTTTTAATAGATGGATCACAAATCCAACCATTGAATAGAACAGTGGTGAACAGAAAGTTCTCATTGTGAGGTTCAGAGCAGTTCAGCCAAGAGAAGACTGGAGAACGGGCTTCCTGCTTTGCAGCAGAAAGGCTAGCGAGCAGCGCATGTCACATGCTTCTGAGTTTGTGTGTGTGCCCCTGTGGCTCCTCCTTCCCCTCAAACCTGGGGAGCCAAGAGTGAACAGAAAGTTGCATTGCAGTTGGGATTTTAACTTTGTCTTCTTTCTATTTTCCTTACCCTTCCACCCTCCTCCTCCCCTTCTTCCCTCTTTCCTGTCCTCTAGGCCTCTCCCACCTCATGATGAGCGAACAAGGTAGGTGCTTTGTGCTTCTGGTCCTGCAGCTGCCCTAATTGCTTGCCTCCATGCCTCTGGCTGATCCTCAGAGCCTCATGGTGGCTGTCAGGCCACTTGCTGCCCGTCGCTCCTGCCTACTGTGGGTTAGGCTGGCAGCAAGGCTGCCCTGCAGTGCGAAGGGGACACCTTTCCTGATGCATCGCGGTCCTGACATTGTCCCCTTGGCTTCTCCATTCTCCACCACCATTTGTCATCCTGGGCGCTGGCCCTGGGGGCTACCTCTGAAAGGGAAGCATGACACAAGGCATGACGGCGTTGATAATGGGGGTGAATGAAGCTAATTTCAGAGCAACAGAGCAGTTAACTGCCTCCTGTTCCTCCCTATTGGGCCCTGGGTTGGGGGAGAGGAGCAGGCTTCTCCCTGAATTTCACTCTGAGTCAAGGTTTGCTTTTTGTCTTCCCCTCCATTCCACTGCCCATTGTAACGACTTTCAGCCCCCACAGGGTTGAAGGAAACCCTTGGGTTTGACTGTTTTCTGTTTTATATAAAAGCAAAAACCCATGGAAAGAACATGCTAATGTCCTTGTGGCAGGATTCTAACTCATTATACACCCTGAAGAAAACTGCATATAAAGATCTGTAAATTCAGCATCTGCAACCTAAAATATTCAAATATGCAGGAATGAACTGTGCAGGAAATTCAGCGTAGCTAAGCACAGGGTGGGCTCTGAATGAAGCCTGTTTTTTTTTTTTTCTCCTAAATAAAAATTTTCCACATTATCAGCCTAAATCAGGATTCAAGAACTGAGCCTGCTTAAAATTGTCTTTTCCTTCACTGTTCAATTGCTGCTATTGTGTTTCTTCTGAGTCTTGCGATGATTGCAAAATTGGTCTATCTGCCTTGCCCTGTCACTAAAGGACTGTACTTTAATATTTCTTGTCTGTTCCTTTTCAAATATACACGGGCCTTGGTGCCTCTTTTGAAGGAGACCAAAGAAAAGCAGAAGGAGGGATACTTCCATTTCCTCCAGTTGTTCTTGAGGCGTAACATGCCTGCGGGTCCCAGCAATCCTCATCTTTTGAGGAGGTGTCGGAGGGGTCACACTGAAGGTCCTCTCCCCTTCCCCTACTCACTCGCACTGGATCCATCAGACAGTTACATCATAGAGGGGAGTTTGATCTGATCAAGAACCACCCAGAACTGAGAGAAATTTGTTTATGGTGGGCAGTTAAGGGCATCCTGAGTTAGAAAAGAGACAAGGTAAGGAGGAAGCACACATCCCCAGTAGAAGTGTATCCCACAGACCCAAGCCAAGGTCCACAACATGGACTCTAGGGATTTCATTAAGAGATGATCAGTGTAGAGCAGATGCCAAAGAAGAGAGCTAGAGGGAGGGGCCCTGGTGGGTTCTCCAGTGTTAGTCGGGCCTGGAAAAGGCCTGGATGAAGTCTCTCTGTTCTTCTTGTAGGTGAGTGAGAGAAGCAAGTGCTAACAGCAGATAACCCCGAAGTAGATGTGAGTAGGGGATGCACTTGTTGTTGACCTAGTGTCTGAGCAGTTTTCGAGAGTTAATCACATCCCAAGCAAGTGGGAGGAACCAAGCTCTGTGAATGTTTGGCATTTGATGGCCCAATTTTGATGACAAGTTACACCAGAAAAGGCATGCCCCAGTGTCTAGATACAGGGCTTCATCTATGTTCTCTAGCCTCATGCTTCCAGCTGCCGGTCAGTAGTTCTCCCAGCTGTACAGTGGTTTGGAGAACTAAGTACATCATATGGCTGACATCACAGCACAGAGTCCAGTCAGATGGGATAGGCTGATAGGGACCTTGTTGATCTTGATTTGGCTTAGTTTAGACCCACCGATGCAGCCCAGGATTTTTGGAAAGCTGAATTCCAATATTGGTATGAAAAGCATCTGGAGGACCTGTATTGCTCACTTTTCATCCACTATTGGGCTTTTCTGGGGCACCCAACGTGGAGGTGCATATGTGCAGAGTGCTCAGATGCACACAGTTACACGTCCTCCGGTGGGACAAGTCAGGTATCTCCTAGAAAGGGGGTCTTTTAGACAATGAAGTAACGAAAAGCACAGATATTGTGAATTCCTCTTACGTTTTCGGGAAAGGATGCGGAGTTCTTCTGGGTGATCAGTGCCACTAGACTTTAAGTCACAACTTGCAGTTTAATCTGTTTTTTTCAGATGGTCCTTTGACCCCATTCCTCCTCCTCTCATGCTTTTCCATTTCCCAACTCCTTGTCCATTCTTGCCCATCCAATGATTAGTTCAAAAACCAATACTCTCTTTCCTGCCTCCTTTCCCTCTCCTTATTCCTTCAACAGGAAAGAGATTTCTGGTTGGTTCCCACTGAAAATCTAGAATTTGCTTTTGATGCTCATAAATATGTGTGCAAATATTTATGTATGTTGTATACGTACTACCCATCCATGTATGCTATGCTACACACTGGCTCTTCATGACTCATATCAATGTTGGGAAAATGCAGGAGAACTTAGCTTCTCTGAGACTTTTCCCTCGCTGCCCTGACCATTTTTAGATTGGTTAAGTGTGTGCTATTTCACATACGTGTGGCTATGCGGTGCTTTTGCATGCAGTGTTTGACATGTTTTTCAGGAAAAGACCGAGAAGAAACTAAAAGCTTAAACAGGAAGTGATGAAAGCAGCCTTGCTGGTCACCCTGGTTACTGCTTGTTGTTTAAGCTTCCGGTTGTGCGTTTGTTTTGCGCTGCCTTCTCAAGATATTGCAGTGCTAACATTGTGGGTTTTGTATGTGCATTCCACTTCTTTGTGTGTCTGCAGTGTGATGACGTTTTATTCTTCCTGCTCTCTCTCTTTCTCTCTCTTGCCGCCTCCATGGTGGACACCATGCTTCCTCTGCTTAATTGGACCTTCCACTTCATTTCTGTAGGTAGAAGTAAAGGTAGAGATCACTTTATTATTTTTTTTATCATTATGACTATCAATCTGCCTTCTGAAATATTCATGTGTCCAGGGGGAATTGTCGATTCTGATGAATACAGTCCAGATTATAACTTAATGCTTTTAACAACGACTAAAAATAAAGAAATAAAAAGCCAATGCTCTCATTTCCCTTCAAAGCACTTCATGTTCGGTGGTTGGGGATGGTTAGAAGTTGGCCTGCCTCCCTGTAAATCAAGGGTGAGGCTTCTCCATTACGCAGGAGTAGGGGCTTCTGACGGTGGCTGTGCCATGTGGGGAAGACATGTTTTATTTTAACGCAAGTCCCAGTAAATGAATTGAGGAGATCGGGGGGTGGGGGACAGAGTTTGACATGCAATGGCTCTATTACTTGGGAATAACTGAATTTGGGGTTAACAGTGAGGGATAGATTACAGATGAGAAGGGGGAGAGGATTGGGGGAATTGTCTGACATTCTATTTAACATGGCATTTGGGGGATATTTATGTATTGCCTTTTCTTCTTCTGTTATATTTACTGTATTTGTGGGAGTGGTGATTTTCTGACTGGGGTTGATGGGCTAAGAAGGGTGGGGCTGGGGGTACGGAAGAACAAAGGAATGAAAATGCGTTATGCTATAAGAAGAAAGAGGAGAAGGAGCGAACACAGGATTTCGACTTACAAAGTCAGCCTTTTGCCAGGTAGGCAGGGAGAAGGCGAGATGCTGAGCTGTGGTGGGATCGCTCCAGTGCTCTGAATTGCCTTTCAGTGCTTCACACCTTTGGGTAGCACAGCTCACTCATCCGTTTTTAATCAAAGCTGTCAGAGACCCGAGCCCAGAGAACCTGGCTCGAAAGCTGAAATTGGATTAGCTGTTTAGGAGTGAAGGGAGAGGTTAATTGATAAATTTTAAATATATATCTGCATCCTTTTCTTCCCTGACTCTCCACTCTGTAAAGCTGTGTGCCGCTTCCTTCAAAGACTGGCAAACCACAGAATTAAGATTCTCATTCTGGCGTGAGGATGCTGAAGACAGAAGGGGCTGACATGTTATTGAAAATGCTGATTGGATGACTAGTCAGTGAACTGGCCACCTCTCCTTTGAGTTTTATGCTTTCCTGGATTTTTTTTTTAAAGCTATGTATAGTTGCCTTGGAAGCAGTTCAGTCCTTTCCCCTTGGGGTTTGCTTGATTGCCTGTTCCTTTTATGAAAATCACAGGTGGGTTCATTCTCAGAAATCCGTGATGTGTAACCCTCACCCCATTGCTAACATGGAAACTTTTAAAAGGAAGTGAGCAAGGAGGAAGAGGAATAATGACTAAAAGTGTATGCCTGGCTGCCACCTCCACCTCTCTAGCTACACTATTCAGTCAAGGGTTGCCAGCTAGCTCCTCATAGTCAAACCTGCCAGTTTTTGCCTGAGACTTAGCCTTTCTGAAGTATGTGGTATTGCTTCCTGTCCCTCCTCCCACTGGCTTCTCAGAAAACACATTAGAGTCATTGTCTATCTGTCGTCTGTCTCTCTTGTACCTTCTCCTTTTCTTTCCCTGGCCCCAGAAAACATCCCATAAGATAGATGCCTTTCGTGTTTTTAGGTTTTGCCCATGGATATCTCATTTTCTTTCTTTGCCCACTGCTGCTACAACTACCAGCAGTGGCGGACGCTTACTGAGTGGTTCCACGTGGCAGCCGTTCTGCTATGCACTTCATGTGCCTTATTTAATCCTCACAACTGTTCTAGGAGGTTGGTGATGGTGTTATCCTTCTTTTATGGATATAAATATGTTCTTCTTCTTCTTGTTAATTGCCATCGAGTTGGTTCTGACTCATAACGACCCTGTAGGACAAAGTAGAACTGCCCCATAGAGTTTCCAAGGAGTGGCTGGTAGATTTGAACTTGCTGACCTTTTGATTAGCAGCCGAGCTCTTAACCACCACACCACCAGTGGTCCCATAAATATGTTATATGCATATTTGTGTTATATCTGTGATATATGTTATCCTTGTTTTAACAAGGCTCAGAGAGTTAAATAACTTAAGTCAGATGGCTACTAAGTAGAAATCAAACCCAGAA